GTTGATTAAAACCTGAGAAAATAAAATTGTTTCTGACCACCTGCCTATATTATACGAAGCAGGTGCAGGCAAATGTCGTTTTACATGGTCTTAAACAGTCCGTATAGGTTCTCCACGGATGGGTTTGTCAGGCTGGCAGGAGAACTTTCCTTTCCTCTTCTCTTAAGTATGAAGAGAAGGGAGATACTGTGCGGTTCTTACACATAACAAAAGTACCTTTTCGGTGGCAGTGTCTTTACTGTAAAAAGGAGGAGGGTCCCTCATTTGATTCCTTTTGAGGGGTCAGCAGGGAATATATGGCTCTGCCGCAGGAAATAACCTGGAGCGCAGCAAAAAGCCTGTCCAGCTGCAGTGGACAATTGCATGGAAGGATCACTCCCCCAGGCAAGTGTTGCGATGGGTCTTGCAGGTTTGGGCTGTTGTCCCTTCTCCCCGCCCTCGCTGCTTGCCCAGCCCTGATCTCCTCCTTGGAAATATCCTTTATTGTAAATGACCTCCTGCTCCAACTCCCTTTGCTCAGAGTGGGAGCCTGAAAAAAGTCTCACCTGGAAAAGGCAAGTGATGTCTTAACCCTTGTTCCCTTGCAGAACCCCTAAATGTTTAGTGTGTGATTTGTGGCAGCCATGGAAAGAGAAGAGTCTTAGTTCGGTGGTGGAGGAAATCTTGCTTCAGATCCCCAGTGGCATCTCCTGGTAGGGCTGGAAATCTTCCATGCCTGAAGCCTTGGAAAGCTGCTGCCAGCCAGTGTTGACAGTCCTGGGACTGATGGGCTGAGTCAGCCTAGGGCACCTTGCTATGGGGGTCCTGGTCTCGGGGACTCCTTGGCTGTTGCGTGTGGGGAAAACGAGGCAAAGTGGCTCTGCAATGTATGTTTTATTAGAAGTAAGGTGTCTGCAACTGTGTCTGACTCAGAGTAGACCCACTGAAACTGGCCATGTCCGTTAATGTCAACTACAGCTCATAACGTTTGTCTAGCGAACAGCCTGAACAACTTCCCCTGAGGAAAGGATCGCGTATGGAATTACTCATTTAATAACAATTGCACCTTATCAAACTTGCATCTTATCTGCTGTAAATATGTGCCCTATTTTTCTTTCTTTCCTGGATGTGTGCAAGATAGTTAATTGCAATTAAACCTGTTAATTAGGCATGTGTTTGTGTAGCTCTTGGATGTGGATTCTCCTCTCAGCTGAGCAATTACTAGGCATTTTCATGCCACTCGTCAGTCAAAAAAGGCTTACAAATGTCCCACCCTTGCAATCTAAGGTTCACATCCAAACCAGACATGATTTAAATCCATTTCCCTCCCCCAAAGGATCCTGGGAACTGCACTTTGTTTAAGGGTGCTGAGAACTGTGAGGGGTGAACTACAGTTCCCAGAATCCTTTGAAGCAAGCAACATGCTTTAAATATATGGGTGTGGGTGTGGCCTATGAGACATGACACAAAAGGAAAGGGGAGTGGGAGGGAAGAGGAGGTGAAAGCAGGTCCAGGCTCTAATTCTTAGTTACAGTCAGTGCTTTTTCGGGGGGGGTATTCAAGGGTACGCAGTACTAGCACCTTTTTCCCTAGCCTTGAAGAAAAGCACTGGTTACTTGCCGGAGCCAGAATGTCAATGGTTGCAAGGAATAAAAAATCAGAGTAAAATTGCTGGTCTTTTTAGCCATATTAATAGAGCAACCCTCTAGTTCCAACTCTCTTCCTTTGCCTGATGCAATGGCTGCTGAGCTGACTGCTCCTGTTGCTCCTGACCATTGGCCGTGCTGGCTGGAGTGGATGGAGTTGTTGACAAAAACGGGTAAAAGGTAAAGGACCCCTGGACAGTTAAGTCCAGCCAAAAGTGACTATGGGGTTGCGCATGCATCTTGCTTTTCAGGCCAAGGGTGCCGGCGTTTGCGTGGCGAGTTCCTGCCTCCCACCAGTAGAAATAAAGACACATGACACCATTATTTTAGGTTAATGGGCTAAAATTGCCCGCAACTTTATCGGTTACAGGTGATGAGCGGTATTGGCTTAGGCATTGGTCCTATCCAACTATCCGGCTTCGGCCTGCTTGCTTGAAGACCCGGAAGGGTTAACACCAGCAGGGGGAGCCCTGCTGATGCACATCGACTAGGGACTCCCCCGGGGTCACCGCTCGGGGGCGCACTTTAGGCCCTGGCCTCCATAGGCTTCGACGAGGCCACGCCCCCGGAATCCTTTACTAGACTACCCTTCAATATTTGGGGGAGGTGATGGCGTTCCTCCCCCCAACACATCTACATAACAATACCCCTACCAATGCCTAACCGCCAAAACCAAAGGAGTTGTGACGATTTGCTATGAGGTAGGCGAAAACCCAAATGGCCGGTGCCAATTTGCCAAGTGGAAAAATTCCTACCAGGCCCCTTAAAGGCGACCAACCGAGGTCCATAGCGAGGTCAGAAGGGGAACCTTAAAGGGTGGGTGGGGTGGGGGAAAACCTCCCTTTCACAAGCCGCGTGGAGCGTGTGAAGAGACTGAGGATAAACAGCAGCAAAACCCCACACCCACTGATGAAAGTTGTGAATCTGAAACTGACTCAGATGGCTCAGCAGCAAAACCCCACAGAGCGTGTGTGCAGCGCTTGCAGGCTTTTCCCCGAGGAGGGAGACGTGTTGCCCTTCTCCCTCCTCTGGGAAAAGCCCCAAGAGCCGCACACACGCTCCACGCGGCTCTTTAAAGGGAGCGCGGCTCTTGGGGGCTTTTCCAGGAGGTGGTGGAAGGGACAGAGCGTGACTAAGCCAGAAGCTAAAACAGCGAGAGGGAGCACTGCGCAGTGATCCCTCTCGCTGTTCTGGCTTCTGGGATAGCTGCGCAGCCTGCATTCGCTCCATAAGACGAACACACATTTCCCCTTACTTTTTAGGAAGGAAAAGGTGCGTCTTATAGAGCAAAAAATACGGTAGCTTGCAACATCTCTTTTTTTAAAAAAAGGAAAACCAACTTTTTTTTGTGTTGCTGTAAACAATGCAAGTGCAGGAATGGAAACAAACAAGATTCCGGTCAATAATTCACAGTTTGCAAAGATGCATCAAGTTATGACGGAGGTTTAACGAACAATTGCTGTCACAATCCGAAATAGAGTATGTGCAAACGGGAAATAAAAAAGTGAAGGAGAGGGAGGAAGGGGGGGCGAGGGAAAGGGGGGCGAGGAAAGAAGCCAGCAAAGTGATAAGGAAGGTATCAAGTGGAATCAGAATTGTACAGTTTGAAGAGACCCTGAGCATCATCTAGTCCAGGGGTCAGCAAACCTTTTCAGCCGTGGGCCGGTCTACCGTCCCTCAGACCTTGTGGGGGGCCAGACTATATTTTCTGGAGGGGGAAATGAACAAATTCCTATGCCCCACAAATAACCCAGAGATGCATTTTAAATAAAAGCACACATTCTACTGATGTAAAAACACGCTGAGTCCCGGAGCATCTGCGGCCCGGATTTAGAAGGCGATTGGGCCGCATCCAAACCCCTGCAATGCAGAATATTCAGCTGTCCCATATGGGGATCAAACTTGCAACCTTAGCATTATCAGCACCACAATCTACCCAACTGAGCTATTTAGTGGGTGGACCCTTTTTATTTATATATTTATGATCTTTAAGAACAATATTCATATGCTCTCAACAGAATTTCAAAAGGATTATATCTAAGCCCCCCCCCGTCTGACCGTCCAGAATTCTTTAAACATTGCCCATCCTTGCTAGAATCTGTTTATCTTCTTTTCCCTCGTTGAACCCAAAGGAATCCATCTTGCCACATTCTTTACGAGCTTGTGGGATTTGTTTCCATGCTGGCTGCTGGGTAAGGGAAACTCCATCCTCTGCAGCCTTCATGGATGTGAAGGCTAGAAATATCTTTTTAAAAAATTGGCCTTCTAGCCAGCAGACTGGCAGAAGAGGAACAGAGGGTGATTCTCTACCACCAGTTGCTTGGTGGCTCAGGCAAGGGTAGGCTAGAAATTCCTGGTTGGACAGGCAACAGCACCTTGGAGAGCAGACTAAGGTTCGGGTTAAGGACCACGGACAGCTCTCCTGCAAGTGGGGCCAGGCATACAAGTTGTCTCAGCGAGAGATTGCTTTGACCAGCAGACTCCACTGGCCTCCTCCAGTCAGCCAGTGCTAGGAAGGTGTAATTCTCTGGAACGTTCAGTCTCTCCCAACACAAAGACAGAACAGGCAATCTCTTCAGATGGGAGGATAATTCTTCTGTCTCTGTGCTTGCCACTGTTCTCCCCAGAGCTTAGCTTCTCCCAGTTATGAGGCATGCTCAAAACAGCCATACATCACCAGAGATGGAGAACTTTAAAGTGTTAAGATCAGAAGGCGGAAAACATGAAAACAACGAGAAGAGGCAGGAACGAAGATTTGGAGATATGCTTTAGAGGTCCAGACTATGGGGAGCCCGGAAAAATGAATAATTACAATTTGGACTACAATTTGGCCGTTTTTTTATTTTAGTTTATTGTTTTTAATCAGATTATGATGCGGATATGTTGATTGGCTGTTTTTATTGGGAAATTAATAAAAATGATTTAAAAAACAGCAACAGTCCTACATCAGGGTGCAATTAATTCTTCCTTACTTACATGCTGTAAAAGTAAACCTCATTTATTCACTTCTGTATATATATCCCACTGTATATATATTCCCCCCGCACACATTTAATCCCCACAACAATCTTGGGAGGTAGACTAGGCTGAGAGACAGTGACCAGCCCAAGGTCCCCCTATGAACTTCTGGGTTCAAGTGGGGATTTGAAACTTGGCCTACCAAATCCCAGTCCAACCACTACAACCACACTGACTCACTTGCTGGGTATAAAAATGAGCCATCCCTTCAGTTTTTAATTCAGGGGGAGCAAAACACGTGTAAGCTACCAGGAAGTGTTTAAAAAGATGCAGCACGCAAGTATAGGTGCAAATTTATGTTTTAATTTTCTCTCCCTCCCCTGCAAGGCGTTCCCTGCCCTGGGCGGTCAGTACTCACCCCAAACGTTGAAGATGTCCGACCCATTTTCTGGGCCTCCAGGCCGAAGAGTTACATCTACCGAACTCAGGAATGGGATGAGTTTCCTAATGGCCGCTGGTGAGTGTGGCGGGGGGGGGGGAGGTGGATGTATCCCTCTGGAAAGATCTGGTTGAACTGGGAAGCGATGGGAGGCCTATCTGAATTAAAACAGAAGATGCCAGAAAGATGCAACGGTTATAGACCAGTTGAGGTAGTTATATATAATTTTTATTAAATTTTACATTTCAAAATATTCTTTTAAACAACCTTAAATCCGTGACATCCCTTCTTCTCTTTCCGTGGTTCATTTTGCATACCATACGCCCTGCGTATTTTACATGAACTAAACCATTCAGGAAACCATTGTTACATCCATCAAAACTTATTTACCCTGCTGAATTTATCTTAATGCTGTCAGCATTTTTAAATGAACACAATTTTCACCCATATATTCAGTAAACGTTTTCCAGTCTTCTCTAAATGTATGTTCTTCTTGTTCTCTTATTCTAGATGTTAAATCTGCAAGTTGCGCATATTTCATCAGTTTAAGTTGCCATTCTTCTTTGGTTGGGACCTCGTTTGTTTTCCATTTTTGGGCTAACAAGACATGGGCTGCAGTAGTAGCCTACATAAATAGTCTTTTTTGACACCTGGGAATTTCCCTCTACTGATAGGTTAATGGAATGACTTATCTCTTGGGCCTGTTAATTTCAGCGGGGCTACCCTAAGTAAAACCTAGTTGACTGAAACCCATAGGATTGTCTCCTCCCAAGTCCAGAAAAGACCCTATACTTTCTGGGCAGATTTCCTTGTTTCGTTCTGTAGTAAATGGGCGCCCAGCCACTTGCCCCTCCCTCACCTGTCTTTGCTCTCCGGCCAGATCAGGTTTCTTGAGCAAGGCTGGCAAACCCATTTACTTTTCAGAAACAGGACAAAATAGAACTGGTAGAGCTGCCACCACTCCCTCGACCCAGGGTTACCAGAAGCCACAGCTCAAGGGAGTCAGCTGTGCTCCTTTGTTCCTGGCTAACCCCAAACTACAAGTTGCTTCCACAAGCTTGCAGGCAGGAATCCTTTGGTAGAGCGTAACCAAGAAGTCTAGGCGTTGGAATTAGCTATTCCCCCGGATAGGCACACACAATACAAGAGAACGTTTCTTTCTTAAAAATTTATTTTAAAACGTAAAGAACATGCTAAAAAGCAGGCACATCTTTTGGTAAATTACAAGTACAGAAAAATAAGAACGTTGTAAATGATAGCTGACTATATACTCTCTTCTATACTCTAAGGCAAAGATAGGATAGTTAGAGTCTTTCAGAAATCCGCATCCAAAGGTCTCAGAAAATCTTCAACGCAAAAGCACAAAAGGACGAAAAGACGGCTGCTTTGGTGGACATCAGCAGCCGGGCGATTCTTTGCGAATTGCAGAGCGCGCCTTTCAAACCATTCTCAAGATCTTTTATCCATAATTCGCACGTGGAATCAGAAACCCCCAAACACAGTCAGAACCCTTGATTATTTTTGAATCCTCCAATGACCAGCTTGTGGCTAATAATTCTAACTTGTGGCAGCTGAGCCAATTAAGCCTTCAGAACCCAGATCAAGGTGTTTCCTCCCTTCCGATGGAGACTGGTGGAGCTTAGGCAGATGTACATTCCCAAGTAATTAAGGATAGATAACATTACAGAGGGTATGTTCATAACTTGAACGCAGGTGTAAACCTTCAATTTAGCCCGAAATTTCCTTTCCCATAGTCATCCTCTCACGCCCTTGGAGCCAACAGGCTCACGGGTTAAAGCAACAGGACGGTTCCCATAATTTTTACTGGTTTCCCACAAGGCCTCATTTTCCACTTGACCAAAGAAAAGCTGCTAAGAAAGTACTAACTTTACTACACATTCCCTTGTTCGATTCATTATTTCATGAAATGGATATACCACTTGACTGTATAAAATCAAAAAATCAAATGAGCCTCGAAGCGGTTTGCAAAAAAGACAAAACGATAAAATTTATCGGTAAGAACAGCGATAATGTAATACTTTCAAGAGCTCAAGTTCACAACTAGCTAAAAACAGATGGAAATATGCATCAGTTTTCTAAACCTCTGGGTGGGCTTCACGAATGTTTCTAGCACAGAGTACAGTGAAGGCAGCTGCCTGATGTCCATAGGCAGGAAGTTCCAGAGTTTGGGTATTGCCACACGAAAAGATGGACTTCTTATAAATTTAGAACAGGGATTCTGTGGTCCCTGCAACAGTTCTGCTGATGGGAGCAGTCAAGTGGGTGAATGTGGGGAGGCCATCTTGCCCGTAAGGGGGCTTGTTCCTGCCCTGCCCTAACATGCCTTCTCTCCCGCAACCCTCAGGGGTAACTCATCCTCCCCAGCCTTTGGGGAGCTGAAGGATTATTACCTCTTCTACCTGAAGAGCAAATCTCCCAGGGACGAGCTGCTGAAGATGTGGGGCGAGGAGCTGACCAGCGAGGAAAGCGTCTTCGAGGTGTTCAGGTGTTACATCGCCGGAGAGCCCAACAAGGAGGGGCACAAGGTGAGAGATTCAGGGAGGGCCCTGGCCCACGAACCTCCACATAGGGGGTGAACAAGTGTGGGCGTCCGGTCTCTGGAGTCCTGACCCAAGTCTCACATACCCTCCAATATTTCTCCAGTGAAAATGGGGGCGTCCTATTCCGTTCTTGTTGTTGTTATACCAGACCCATCTGAACTGGATTGCCTCAGCCATTCTGGGTGTCTTTCAACATCAATAAAAACATAAATAAAACACACACACACACGTAAATTTTATTAAATTTTCCGCTTTACAATTTAGAATATTCATTCAAACAACCTTAAAATATCAATGGCTTTCCTTCTTCCCTTTCCATGGTTCATTTTGCACAACATAAATCCCTACATATTTTACATAAACTATACCATTCAGTATTCCATTACAGTGGTTTGTTGTTGTTTAGTCGTTTAGTCGTGTCCGACTCTTCGTGACCCCCTGGACCAGAGCACGCCAGGCACCTCTGTCCTCCACTACCTCCCGCAGTTTGGTCAAACTCATGCTGGTAACCTCGAAAACACTATCCAACCATCCTCTGTCGCCCCTTCTCCTTGTGCCCTCCATCTTTCCCCAGCATTGGTCTTCTCCAGGGAGTCTTCTCTTCTCATGAGGTGGCCAAAGTACTGGAGCCTCAGCTTCAGGATCTGTCCTTCCAGTGAGCACTCAGGGCTGATTTCCTTAAGAATGGATGCGTTTGATCTTCTTGCAGTCCATGGGACTCTCAAGAGTCTCCTCCAGCACCATAATTCAAAAGCATCAATTCTTCGGCGATCAGCCTTCTTTATGGTCCAGCTCTCACTTCCATACATCACTACTGGGAAAACCATGGCTTTAACAGTGGTACCTTGGGTTTAAGTACTTAATTTGTTCTGGAGGTCCGTTCTTAACCTGAAACTGTTCTCAACCTGAAGCACCAATTTAGCTAATGGGGCCTCCTGCTGCTGCCGCGCCACTGCTGCACAATTTCTGTTCTCATCCTGAAGCAAAGTTCTTAACCGAGGTACTATTTTCTGGGTAGCGGAGTCTGTAACCTGAAAGTGTATGTAACCTGAAGCGTCTGTAAACCTGAGGTACCACTGTATTACATCCCTCAAAACTTATTTACACTGTTGAATTATTTTAATGCTGTCAACGTTTTCCAAGTGTAGCACAATACCACCGCCCCCCATATATTCAATAAACATTTTCCAATCTTCTTTAAATGTGTGTTTTTCTTGTTCTCTTATTCTATACATTAGGTCCGCAAGCTGCGCATATTCCATCAGTTTTAAACTTGAACTGATAAAATATTTTAAAAACTTCCCTCTACAGGGCTGCCTTCGGATGTCTTCCAAAGGTCGCGTAGTTACTTATCTCCTTGGCTTGGGGGAGAGGGTCGCATAACTCCATACCCTCCAACATTTCTCTGATGAAAATTTTGTTGTTTAGTCGTGTCTGACTTTCGTGACCCCCTGGACCAGAGCACGCCAGGCCACTCCTGTCCTCCACTGCCTCCTGCAGTTTGGTCAAACTCATGCTGGTAGCTTTGAGAAACACTGTCCAACCATCTGTCCTCTGTCATCCCCTTCTCCTTGTGCCCTCCATCTTTCCCAACATCAGGGTCTTTTCCAGGAAGTCTTCTCTTCTCATGAGGTGGCCAAAGTCTTGGAGTCTCAGCTTCAGGATCTGTCCTTCCAGTGAGCACTCAGGGCTGATTTCCTTCAGAATGGATGCGTTTGAGCTTCTTGCAGTCCATGGGACTCTCAAGAGTCTCCTCCAGCACCATAATTCAAAAGCATCAGTTCTTCGGTAATCAGCCTTCTTCTGATGAAAATAGGGACTCTCTAAAAGGGGGACATTCTGGAATCAAATCAGAAACCAGGGCGGCTTCTGTAGATCCATAAATGCCCCTGGAAAATAGGGACACTTGGATGGTCTTGTTTCAGGCATTGCTTTCTGCTCCTCGGCTGTGAATTGTAGGAACCAACTGCTTTATACCAAGTCTGAACTTTGGTCCCATCTAGCTCAGTATTGCCTACACTGACTGGCAGCAATGACTCTCCTAGTCCCAGCCCTACCTGGAGATGCCAGGAATTGAACCCAGGGCCCTTATGGATGCTGAGCAGGCCCTTCTCTACTGCTGAACTGCAGCCCCACAGTAAAAGGTGCTTGAAGGAACTTTGAAAATGTCAAGGAGATGAGTAACTCTACCTTTAGAAGACACCTGAAGGCAGCCCCGTATGGAGAAGCTTTTTAATGTTTTATTTTGTCCTCTTTGTGTGCCTCCTCCTCGAGAGGTCCAGAGGGTGGCAACACGAGAACAGGGCCTTCTCTGCAGTGGCTCCCCGTCTATGGAATGCTCTCCCCAGGGAAGTTTGCCTGGCGCCTTCATTACACACCTGGATGAGATGGTTGGACAGTGTTCTCGAAGCTACAAACATGAGTCTGACCAAACTGCGGGAGGTAGTGGAAGACAGGAGTGCCTGGCGTGCTCTGGTCCATGGGGTCACGAAGAGTCGGACACGACTAAACGACTAAACAACAACAAAGGTGCCAGGCAAAAAAGTTCCTTTTAAACCAAGCCTTTGGTTGATTTGATTTACATCCTATGCCCTTTTAAAAGGTGTGGGGTTTTTGTTTTTTGGAGGGGAGGACTATTGGGTGGTTGTTTTTATTTTTGATTTTGTGGTTTTATATCTTGATTTTTTTCTGTGAATCGCCCTGAGACCCCTGGGTATAGGGCGGTATATAAATTCAATAAATAATAATAATGCTTTTAATATATGTTGGAAGCTGCTCAGAGTGGCTGGGGCAACACAGTCAGATGGGCAGAGTACAGTGGTACCTCGGGTTACAGACGCTTCAGGTTACGGACGCTTCAGGTTACAGACTCCGCTAACCCAGAAATAGTACCTCAGGTTAAGAACTTTGCTTCAGGATGAGAACAGAAATCGCACGGAGGCAGCGGGAGTCCCCATTAGCTAAAGTGGTACCTCAGGTTAAGAACAGTTTCAGGTTAAGAACGGACCTCCAGAACAAATTAAGTACTTAACCTGAGGTATCACTGTACAAATAAATTATTGTTGTGGTTAACACATGTGTGTGTCTGCTTGAGGTATAACAGGGGGAAGGAATTTTAAAATTTAAGGGGATTTGGAAACATGGGAGAAAGCTGTGCATTTGTGTGCACACCCAACCTGCCCTCTCCCCTTTCCAAAATATTGATAGTTTTTTCTCTCTCCCCCCCCCCCATAGGTGACCTGCCTGCCTTGGAACGATGAACCTCTGGCGCCCGAGACCAACCTTATGAAAGAAGAGCTGGCCAAGGTGAACAGGAGAGGGATCCTGACCATCAATTCCCAGCCGAACATCAACGGCAAGCCCTCCACCGACCCGATTGTGGGCTGGGGTCCCGACGGAGGCTACGTCTTCCAAAAGGTAACATGGCTGGGGACATTATGCTCTTCTCTCCTTCCCTTCCATCTCTCAGTCCAAGCAGTTCTGTCCTCTTGCATAAGATCAATTTTTGTGTGAAAGGAAGAACCACACTGCCTTTCGTGGCAAAGCTTTAGGCACTTCCAGGGGTCAGGCTGGATGACCCCTGGGGTCCCTTCCACTCCACAGTTCTGCGATTCCAAGTCGTGTGCTATGGCAAATTAGGAAGGTAGATTTGTTTGACATGTTTATAGGGTGCTGTTCAGGGTCCGGTTTCAGGAAATGGTATACATCGCTCAGTAGGGATAGGAACACAGGAAGTTAGTTGTCTTTTAACATGAAGTCATATACAGTGGTACCTTGGTTCTCAAACACCTTGGTTCTCAAACGCCAAAAACTTGGAAGTGTTCAGGCGGCTAGTCCTAGTCTTTATAACCCTGTACCTTCTTCCAGAAGGCAGAAGCTGAAAGAGATCATTTCCGGGTAGCGCACTATCCTGCACTATCTCTGCCGCTTTCTTATGGCACCTGGAAGAATAGAATTGATCCAAGGTGGGAAGAGTGCACCCAGTTATTCTCTCCGCAGTCTTTACAACCCTGGACAGCATTGTTTTTCGCCTGACCGTGCAGCTCCCAAACCACACACACAGACCATAATACACTCTCCACAGTGCAATGGTAAAATGCCATCAACAGGTCCTTTCAACCCTTCTCTTTAGACACAGGAACATAGGAAACTGTGTTCTGCTTAGTCAAGCCATTGCTCTGTCCAGCTCGGTCTCATCCATACGGACTGGTAGCAGCTCTCTGACGTTTCAGACCAGACTCTCTCCCAGGCAGACCTGGAAATGCGGAGGGTTCAACCTGGTCCCCGAGGCCTTCTGCATGCCAGGCAGGTGTTCTGCCACTGGGCTGTGGCTCGTCCCCTCGTCCTTTAGCTTGAAAAGTTGATCTGTAGCTGTAACTTGGCCCAAGCAATTCTCAAGTGGCAGGGCGTAGCCAAGGCCGGCTAAATCAAAGAAGGCTGGCCGCTCGGTGCCGGCAGGTGTCAGAAGCAGCAGAGGGAAAAGAAAGATTCCCCGCCTCAGAAATATTGAAGTGTGGGGACAGGGCGGGGGGTTTGTGTGACACACACTCTGCAATGCAAAAAACACACTCCGTGCAATGCACACACACTCTGTGCAATGCAAAAAACACACTCTGTGCAATGCAACTACACCCTCCATGCAATGCCCTCACCCTCCGTGCAATGCACACACCCTCCGTGCAATGCAACTACACACTCCGTGCAATGCAACCACACCTTCCGTACAATGCAACAACCCACTTCGTGCAATGCAGCAACCCACTTCGTACAATGCAACAACACACTTTGTGCAATACAACAACACACTTTGTGCAATACAACAACACACTTTGTGCAATGCAACTACACACTCCGTGCAATGCACACGCACCCTCCATGCAATGCACACACCCTTCGTGCAATGCAACTGCAAATCTCTCACGCAATGCAATGCAATTGCAGTCCATGCAGCGCCGTGCTCTGCAACGCACAGAGCAAACTGCAATGCGGGCACGCAAAGGTGCTTTCTCCCAGTTGCATATTGCAAACGTGGCGCCCGTTACGTCCCTCGCAGTGAGGTAACCACCAAAAGGACCTAAGTGTCCAGGTAGAGCAATGGGGGAGCATGCAGCTCCAGGAAGGGAAACTCCCAGTGGCTGAAAACTGAAAAAGCGAAACTTAACGGGACTCTTCAGCACGAGGGAGCCATGGCTGCTGCAGGGGGTCACATCCAGCGTCTCCGTGATGAAGCCACTTGCCCCATCTGCCGGGATTACTTCAAGGATCCAGTGACCATCAGGATTTTTGCATTGGGCTACTCCAAACTCACTGTCAAATCACATGTCTGTGGCCACAGCATGAACCACCAAAATCATACATCCACTATTTCGTTCAGAATCCCCCCCCCCCCCCGTTTTCCTCCTCTAAAAACTAGGTGCGTCTTATGGAGCGAAAATACGGTAAATACTGCCTTCAGACAGATGGGTGGGGTACAAATAAAAAAAATTATCATCCTCATCATCACTCGATAACCCTCTCCTCCATGAATTTGTCTTTTTTAAAATCAGTGGCTGTTGGTGCTTCTTGTGGCAGTGAGTTCCACAGTTTAACTGTGAAATACTTTTCTTTGGTCCAACGTTCGGCTTCATTGGATGTCTGGCATTATGGGAGCGCGAGAAGCACGTTATCAGTGTTCCCCACGGCTTGCGTTTCCTTTTCCGTGCCACGCATTAGTTTTCCCTCCTAAAAATAAAATAAATGTGACAAGCAGCCCATAAGATGGACCGCGCATAATTTTATAAAGTTCTGCCTCGTTGCCTCTTTCTCACATTTCCCTCTAAACCAAAAAAATCCCCAAATGTTGAAACCTCTCCGCATGTGGGAGACGTTCCGACTTTGGCTGGTGTTTCCTGAAACTCTTCCCAACTCCACGATACCCTTTTGGGAGGGTGGGGACCGCATGGGGAGAGCAGTGTTGTTAGCAGAAATATGAATCACCCCACACTTAGTCCTTTTACAATTTCTCTCTTTGTTGGAAGCTGCCTTAAAGGTAAAGGGACCCCTGACCATTAGGTCCAGTCGTGACCGACTCTGGGGTTGTGGCACTCATCTCGCTTTATTGGCCAAGGGAGCCGGCGTACAGCTTCTGGGTCATGTGGCCAGCAGGACTAAGCTGCTTCTGGCGAACCAGAGCAGCGCACAGAAACGCCGTTTACCTTCCTGCCGGAGCGGTACCTATTTATCTACTTGCACTTTGATGTGCTTTTGAACTACTAGGTTGGCAGGAGCAGGGACCGAGAAGTGGTCAGCCAGATGGGCGGGGAACAAAAGAATAAATAAATATGATAATTCCAGATCCAACACAATTAGCCTTCCTCCCCTGTCTAGCCACCGCCGGTATGAAATTGTGTCTTCATTTTTTCTTTTCTTTTTAATCATTGTTATTGATTTTCCAATAAAAATAGCCAATCAAGATACCCGAATCATAATCCAATTAAAAATAATAAACTAAACACAAAACAACCAAATTGTAGTTATTAATTTTTACAGGCTCCCTATAGTCTGGACCTCTGAAGCATATCTCCAAATTTTCTTCCTGCCTCTTCTCGTTGCTTTCATATTTTCCTCCTTCTGATCTTAACGCTTTAAAGTTCTCCGTCCCTGGCTATGCGATTCTCAGTCATGTCAAAAATCATATATCCTTTCATACATTGAATACAGCTTTATTTGTAAATATATATTTTTTGTGTCTTCATTTTTTCATATCGGTTTCTATTAAGGGTTTTCAGCATAAAACTCAATGAAAGCCAAACTAATCCAAAGACCTAGGGAAGAAGCAAGAATAAGGAAAAGAAGGAAATAAAGAAGTAGAAAAAGAAGAGAAGACGAAAAAGAAGTGTGTGTGTGGTGTGGAAATCCACAAGATCCTCTATCCTAATTTTATCTTCACCCCTGAGGGATGACAACCAACATGATCAAAGGTCTAAACCTTATGAGGAACGGTTGAAGGAGCTGGCTAGGTTTAACCTTGAAAAGAGGAGGCCAAGAAGAGGCAAGATAGCCAATTTCAAATTTTGAAAAATAAATTTCAAAAACCAAGCAGAGGGCCTTCTCGGTAGTGGCGCCCTCCCTGTGGAATGGCCTTCCTTCAGCTGTCAAGGAGATAAAAGAATTACACAACTTTTAGAAGACACCTGAAGGCAGGCCTGTGTAGGGAGGTTTTTAAAGCTTGATGTTTGTTTTGGTTTTGTTTTTTATTATATTTTTAGTTATTCTGTAAGCTGCCCATAGTGGTCATGTGAAAGATGGAACAAACTTGTTCTCTCCTGTTTTGGAGGGCAAGACTGGAACCAATGTTTTTTTAGCCCAAGACAACAGGTCTCCGGAGGGACGCGGGTGGCGCTGTGGGTTAAACCACAGAGCCTAGGACTTGCCGATCAGAAGGTCGGCGGTTCAAATCCTCATTATGGGGTGAGCTCCCGTTGCTCGGTCCCTGCTCCTGCCAACCTAGCAGATCGAAAGCATGAGAAAGTGCAAGTAGATAAAAAGGTACCCTTCCGGCGGGAAGGTAAACGGCGTTTCCGTGCGCTGCTCTGGTTTGCCAGAAGCATCCCATGGGACGATGCCAAGGGCTTTCTGGCCTCCTTTGAGCGGGTGGCCCAAGGGAGAGTGGGCGGCCAGGCTGCTGCCAGCCCTCCGAGGAGGGGCCGAGTGGGCCTTTGGCAGCCTGGAGGCCAGCGACAGAGAGGATTATGGGGAAGTGAAGGCGGCCATCTTGCGCGGGGACACCACCGCCCAGGAGAAGCAGCGGCAGCAGCACTTCCGCCGCTTCTGCTACCAGGAGGCCGAGGGGCGAGGCCTATGGCCGCCTCCAGGAGCTCTGCCGTGGGTGGTTAAAAGTGGACCGGCACACCAAGGAGCAGGTTCTGGAACTGCTGATCCTGGAGCAGTTCCTGGCTATCCTGCCGCCCGAGGTCCAGGGCTGGGTCAGGGAGGCCGGGCCTGAGAGCTGCTCCCAGGCAGTGGCCCTGGCCGAGGAAGACCTCCAGGCGCAACGGGAAGCTGAGGGGCAGGAGCTCACATGCGCCTTGGGGCTGTGTTGCTGGGGGGCTCCTGGGGGGCTGATCCTGCCACTCCCTGGGTTGTTAACCAAGAGAGCGAAGCCTGTCCGTTTCATGCTGATTAAGGAGGGGAAGTCCAATTCTATGCCCCTAGCTCACTCAGGGAAACACTTAGTCTCAGGGTTGCGGGTTCAAGTCCCGTTTGGGGGCAAAAGATTCCTGCGTTGCAAGGGGTTGGACTAGATGACCCTCAGGATCCCTTCCAACTCTATGATTCCTGTGCTCTTCTAGGCATACTCCCCAAGTGTCCCTTGTCTCCAATGACAGTTCTGGAATTATGAAAGCCATCCCAGCTTCTGATTTGATCCTGGACTGTCC